GTGCTTAATAAGCTGGAATCCCACATCTCTTGGAGTTGGATGCAGTGTCAGCTTGTCCTGATGGGGAAGATGCAACATGGCTGCTATGTGGTGAAGCTGGAAAACCATGGAAACTCCCAGATTAATCTTACAGCGTAACATGGAAAGAAATGCTGGAGTCTCCTCCCTTCAGAAAAAAAGGGAAGCACATGTACTTGCCTCTTACATTTCAAACATTAAGTGAAAATTACTCTGGGATGTTTGCCTGTGCTGAAATGATGTATGCGTGAGTGCTCTCTAATGCTGGTATCTGACACCCTGAAAACAGCTACAAAACGAGTGGGCCTGACTTGTGCAGCACACTTGGCAAGGCACAGACCTGGCAGGCCGAGGTGCCTGGAGTTGTTCCTGGCTGAGCATGGAGCTGCCCTCTGCCTGCAGCAGTTCTGCAGGGCACGGATCAGCTGCAGCACCTTGCAGCAGTGCCTGCGTTCTGCTGATGGGTGAGGTGAGCAGGTTGCTTTTTCCCTGAGTCCCTCTCAGACTCCATACTGATGGAGAGTTGCCTGCTGGTCCCATGTGCCCCTGTGGGCAGGGGTCTGGAAGAGAACAGGGATTGCTGCTGAATGCAAGGGGAACTTGAAGATTTGGACAAGGAAGTGTTTGGCTGCAGAAATACAGACTTAAAGTACAGAGCATAATGCTGATCTTACAGGAGCCATAGGAGTTCCAGTAGGAACTGCAGCAGGGCCTGGATTTTTCAAATCGTGTGTTTGTTTTCCTCTGCCTAGGAAAAAAAAAGCTGACCTTGTCATTTTTTTAGGCATCTTGGGCTGTTCTTGCTCTGATCTGAAGCTCGCAGTTGTCAGATTCCCATAAATCCTAATAACTGACAAGTATGTGTACATAGCTCTGCAGTCTGACACTCTCAAGCTGTTGGACTCTCTGGAGGTGCTGTGTTATCATCCACACATGCAAGCAGTGGGCGTGATGCACTTAGAAAATATGGGACCTCTGGCACTCGTGCATATTTTTGTACAAGAAATCTGAGGCAGAAATGTGGCAACCCTATCCCAGCAGCTTCATCTAGCCCTGGGTTGTTAAAGAGTCTGTCATGTCCTACTGCTGCTAAAATATAAAGAAAAATCAATGGGGCATTTAACTAATGGCAAGCTGTGATAAAGGGAGTTCTTTGGTAAAAAGCAAGAACCTGCAGGAGGTTGGAGTGGGAGGAGCAGAGTCTGATTAAAGGGTAATGGGGTTCCTATCATTTCAAGCTTACTTGGGGAGAAGTACAGAAATGCACGGCTCTGGGCAGCTTGAAGAATCCTGGCAGGAGATCTGTGTTCTGAATGAGGGTAAAAAATGAGCTGAAGGAGGGGGTGATGTGCTGTGGGCCAAAGAGGGGTCTTGAAATCCCTGCTCATCTCTGTGGATCTCTGTGGTCTCCTGGAGAGATGAGCAATGCTTTGCCACACTCAGAGCACGCCATCCCAAGGCTGTGTTGGGGGCACTGGTGACAGGTGTCACCCTGTGCCATAGCTTGGTGCTGATGGAGGAGTGCTGCAGGATGTCACTGCACATCAGCCTGGGACTGAGGGAGAGGACAAGGATGTGACATTGCGTGGGAGCGCTTAGCTGCATATTAATTTCTGAGTGTTTAATCTGCTTATTCTCTTGAGCTGTTCTTGAGCAACGAACTCTGCTGGGGATAAAGGAGGAGTGATTTATAGCTTTAAAATTATCGGTGCTTCAGCAGATCACCAGCTTCAGCTTGTATGGCTTTCTTGCTTTGCTTTATAGATGCTTCCCTGAAGCTCACACACACACACAAGGCTGTGTGCAGGCATTTGGTGTTGTCCTTGCCAGAAACATGACCTTGGACAGCTGAGATGGGATTATTGAAACAACAGCCCCTTCCACGCCCGCCAGCACAGCCCTTGCGCCCCCATTCTGCTTGGTAAGCTCTGCCTGAAGCCTTGCTTGTGGCTTCCTATCAAGCGTATGATTTAGAAACTTCCCGGGTCACCTTTGCAATATCTCACATGCAATTGATGGGGAATCCGGGGACGCATTTTAAAAGTAAATTACATGGAACAAATAAACCAATCTGCTTCTAAAGCACTTGTGCCTTTGAAAACACTGGCACTGACTAGCTGCTTTTTAAAAGGATATTTGTATTTGTTCTAATTGAGTTGACTTTTGGAGGGGGAAAAAAAACAAACAAACAGAAAACAACCCAGCGATGTGAGGGATGTTTTAGGAGATGTCTGTTCTTAATCCGTGCTAGGCTGCTCACACAGCCACAAGAGCAAGGGTGTTGAGGTTACTTTCCTGCATAGGGCTATTGGTTGTACCTAGGATCTGGGCTTTGGCAGCAGCTCGTGCCCTTACTAGCCTGGAAGAAGCAGCCCATGAGGTGGTTGTTCTTGTCAGGACTCTTTTCTTCTGCTCTTTATCTCCCCACTTTTTGCATCTAACCGTGCTCTTAGCCTGCTGGTCCTCTGGCAGAGAGCTCCTCTCTTCATTGATTGCTGGTGATGTTCTCCTGGGGTTGGCAGGACTCACAGCAATAGCTTTGCACCTTGGGCCTCATTCCAAGCATTTCTGACTGAGTTAGTGATCATTAACAACCTGTGTGTGCTCCATCAGATCACCTGGCAGCGTGAATTTGCCTACCTCAATATGATGCTGTCATCATGTTTGTCAGATGAGCTGGAACTGGCAGTCCTGAGCTCAGGCTGGTGCTGTGGTTCCTGTGCCAGCTGTGGGTAACAGATGGTGCCTGCTCTGCCATAACCTTTTCTCTGCAATCAGATAAGGCAAGGCTGAGGACAGAGGTTACCTGATTGGGCACAGAGCCTGTCAGGACAAAGTTAATGTGCCAGTGCTTCTGGAATGTGTTTGAACTGGGAGTTTATAGTGGATCAGCATATCTGGGCTGCATGCTTACAGTGCAGCCTGGTCTGGAGAAGGGGGGGCTGAGAGGTGCCCTCACTGCTGTCTGCAGCATCCGAGGAAGGAGAGCTCAGGGAGATGCTGGGCTCTGCTCCCTGGTGCGTACAGCAGTGGCTCAGCTGTACTGAGGAAGGTCAGGCTGGGCACTGGGGGAAAATGCTTGTGTGAGGGTTCCAAGCTCTGGGACAGGTTCCTGGTGAGGTGGGTGGTGCTTCGTGCCTGCCAGCGTTTGAGAAGCGTTTGGTCTGTGCTCTCAATAATGTGCCTGAACTTCTGGTTAGCCGTGAAGAGGGCAGGCAGTTGGGCTCAGGTGTTCAGTTGGAAGGGACTCTCGAAAACCTGTTCTGTTCTATTAAAGTGCTGCTGAAAGAAGGCCTCCAGTGACCCTGTCTCTGGCTGTTGTGTTGCCAGCAGGCTTTATTCCTTTTCTTTCAAGAGGAGAATCTCACTTCTCAAGGCCGACTGAGATTCAGAGATGTTTTCTGCTTTGGAGGTCTGGTGCTGTGCTTTTCCACTTTGCTGCTCATGAAAAAAGTGCTGCTGAGTTGAGCAGTTTCTGGAGGATGTGACAAAAGCCCACTTGGGCACATGGTTATTCAGATGGCACTTCCCTGTGGTAATGAAACTAGCTCTTGGCCTCCTTTCTGGGACCAGGAGGAGGCAGGGATGGCTCATGTTTTCTAGGCAAGCTGAAGAATCATGAAGGGCTTGAGATCCTGGCTAGCAAACCTGCTAATTCAGCCAGTTACTGCTGGGCTGCTGGGGAGAAGTAAGGCATCTTGTGTGCCACGTCAAGCTGCTCATCGCATTTGTCTCTATGAGGTGTGTTCTTTCCTGTTAGTTTCGAATACAGCTAATTGGAATGCACTTATAGAGTTTCTGCCTGCAGGCTCTGGCAGAGATGTTCTGCCCTGTGGCTCTGGGTTCATCTGTGCCAGCCGACTTTCTTAATTGATAGCATATACTCTGCACTGACGCAGCAAGCCATAAACTGCAGCAAGTGTCCCAGGGAGGGAAATCTGGCAGGAGGATTCTGGCTCTGCCTCGGTACAAAAACACATTCCTGGATAAGCGTTATCGGGTGCGTTCCCGTCTCTGACTGGGGATGCTCTGGAATTTCTGTTGAAGTAGAGATGCCCGGGAGAGATTAAAAATGCTGCAGATGGGTTTTCCTTGGGCTGCAGAAGGTCTGTGGTCTCTGCCAGCTGGCTTGCCTCATCAGGGCAGAACATGTATGTGACTCATAGATGTAATTCTGGGAACGTGCTCTAGGGGGTAGGTGAGAAGATAGGAGCGCACAAACGGTCTGAAGCTGGGTTGTAGATGCAGGGCTTCAAGCTGTCGGGTGGGCTATTTGGAATTACTGGGCCAAACGTAGAGTCCTCAGGGACTCAACACAGGGGAGCTGGTGAGTGTTGAATTGCACAGCGCCCTGCCCTGTGTCACTCCCCACGCAAGCTGAGATCCAGCCCAGCTACAGCTTGTCTGCAAGATTGACTCCTCCACACTCCTGGAACAGTTTAGTGTCTGAAACAGTGACAGATAACAAGGTGGAAGGTGTCCTGGCTTACAGTGTTCAGGATGAGTGCTATTAGGCATTTAAGTAGGAAGAAAGATGCCTGCTGTATGGCACATTCTGTACAGCTGGCCAAAAGGCGTTGTGAAGTTCTCTGTGCCTTTGTGTGGGCACTTCTCTCCAATGCTCTGATGCTTGCTATGGAAATGTGACATGGCTTGAAGAGGTGGAGGGGATGTGGAAGATGCATTCTTTCAAAAGAAACGCGTAGACATGAAATGAGAGTTTCCATAAACTTCCTGAAGGGAGGTTGTGGTGCAAAAAGGTCTGGCCTCTTCTCCCAGGCAAATAGTAGGACCCGAGGAAATGGCAAGAAGTTATACCAGAGGAGGTTGAGATTGGATATTAGGAGAAACTTTTTCTCTCAAAGGGTGGTCAGGCACTGGAATGGCTGCCCAGGGAGGTGGTGGAGTCGCCATCCATGGTGGTGTTCAAGAGGCGCCTGGATGAGGAGCTACGAGAGATGGTTTAGTGCTTGTGGCACTGATAGGAATGGGAGGGTGGTTGGACTAGATGGTCTTGCAGGTCGTTTCCAACCTTGTGATTCTGTGATAAGTAATTAAGGAAAAGCATGACTTCTGAATATTAGTACCTAGAATTATTTGTAATTTTTTCCCCTAATTCAAAGGTAGTTTGTCTTATCCTTCGATAAGATACGATTGGATTTCATGGAAATAGAGAGGGTAGCCGTGCACTGACGTAGCAGAGGTAGAGCTGCTGAGGCCAGCAAGGAAGCTTTGGGATTGCTGGTGGCTGCGATGTTTGCATGTCCCTGACAGCTGAGCTGTACACGCTCAGATGGGCTCCCCAGCCCGGGCTTTGGGCTCCCACGGCCTCTGCAGAGCACTGGGAGGAGCTGGGGGCCGAAAGCCTGAGCTCTGCTCTGAGCTCTAAGCCCTGGGGAAGCCTCCTGGCCCTGCTCTGTGCGCAGTGTTCTCTTGACTGCTTCATGTGGGAAGTGCCCCGGTGTGGGGCGAGCTCGTGAGGCTGTTTGCAAGCAGTTTGTGGCCTGCTTGCTGTGCCTGTTGCTTTGGCAGGCTCCTGGGGCTGGATGTTGGTGCTCGTTGCTTCTGGCCTGGCTTATGGCTGCTCTGGGACCGCTGTGGTCTCACGCCATTGCTGTCCTTTGACACAGACACGCTGTTCTCACCGCTTGCTGCCTGCGTACCTCTCTGCTCGTGCTGCTGTCTGGGTGGTGAGGCTTTCCCTGGGCTCTGGCAGTGACTCAGCTTCGTCTCCTCGGGGTGTGCTCCTCACTGCCTGCCTTCTTATCTCTTAGCAATCCTGTGCTGATCCATGGAGGATCTGTGTGCTGGAAACAAGTTGGTACGGCGCCTTCAGCGCTCGCTCCCTGCACCTTCCTCTCATACCCTGCCTTCATCACAGCTTGTTCCCAGGGCAAGGCATCAGCTGCCTTCTGCAAGCACAGCTGTCGTCCTTAGAGGAATCAGTGTTCTCATTTCAAAACAGGAATCTAACCACAACCCCCCTCCCCGAAACCAAACCCTGAACCCGCAGCCCTCGTGGGCAGCCTCAGGCAGTCTGATGGTCTCTGTGAGATATTCCTCTGCTTTTCCACTTAGCTTCATCACGTCAACTATTCTTTGAACCTTGCTCTGAAATGTCAGTTGGGGGTTGCCCTCGTTTCAGTGCTCTGTCTCATGCTGTTGCTTGTGGGTTTTGCTGTGGAGACTGGGTAACAGAAATGGGAGGAAAAAACCCACCAAAAACAATGAAAACACACGGATTCTGTAATTGCTTTGGAATCTGACGAGCAGCAGATGGCTCTGTGCTCTTTGCGAGCACCCATCCTCTGCATACCAAGGACTAGCTACGTCACGTTGTTCAACAAGCCACAGAAATTATATTTTAATCCAACCTTGCTTCCCCCTTCTTCCTCCCCCACCCCCCGTGGTTTGTTGTTGCACTCAGTAGCTTGCCATAATGCATTTCGTTCTGCCTGCTTCTGATTGGAAACACAAGACACAACTTCATTACAAGCTCTATGGCTTCCCCCCACACTTAACATACCGTACAAATTGTTTGCTCAACTTTGGCATCTTGCCTCAGAGGAATTTTTGTCATTTGAAGGTTTTAAATCAGCTATTTGAGCCACTCACAATTGTAAATAATAGCCTATTAGTTTATAAGAGACATACTTGCTGGCATTTCAAGCCTCTCAGAGGGATCACACTGTCTTGGAAACCCTGTAACGCCTATGGAACTGAGCACTGTTTAAAGAAACCCCCAAACACTGCCCTGGGAAAATTCATTTATAGAAAATAAGTGAAACGAATAGATGTTTTTAGCCACATGTTACTCATTTTCTTTTTATTGCTTTAACATGTCTTCGCTGGAACATGTTACCATTGGAGGCTGCTGGTGCCAGCTGTACACCTGGCTCAAGTTGGGAAGAAATGGAGTTTGGCCTTTCATCTTCACTGCTTTCTGTTATGATTGGAACCGAGGGTTGGCCCCAGATCAGACAAAGGGTGAGCTGAAAACCATCCTCAGAGCTGGTTTCTAGAGGAAGCCTTATAGGGTTGTGTGTGGGGGGTTTGGCTTTTTTTTTTTTTTTCCTTCTCTCCCTTTTTGGAGCTCTTGTATTGAGTTTATATACTGGCAGAGGCAGGAAACCATTGTGTACAATATGGCAAACAGAGCTAACAGGCAGTCAGGCCAAAGGCTATAAATTATTATTTTAATTTCTTGGTTTATGGTTTCTTGTTGACTCCAGATCAATAGGAGAAAGATGCATTGAGCCACCTCTTTTAATTAAAAAGGCTTCTGTGATTAGGCTCTAGTGAGGGATGAAGAGGCGCGTGAAGAGGATGTGCCTGGAAGCAGATGGTGGTTTCCAGGGGGAGGAATGCTGCTTTCCCCTGTGCTGTATCACTCATTTTCTAGTGGCCAAGTTTCTGGAGGAGCTATGGGAGAAACCCAACTGCACTGCAGCTCACTTCACCCAGCTTTCTTCCAGCCTGGTTTGTGTTTGCGTCCTCACATCCTGAGCCAGCAGACCTTGTTTCCCATTGAATAAAAAAGCACTGTGTTTTAGCAGACTCTTCTGCTTATTTTAAAACAACTCCAGCTTCGTTTCACCCTCAACTTGGGCCACTTGCCCCATAGTGCTGAGAAATCGTTGGCATTTGGTGCCTAACAGGTGCAGCAATATTTTTCTTTCCAAAGGATTTCCAGAGTGAAATGCACATCTGTAACAAAGCCGGTATTTTTCTGCTCATCACCTTCAGACATGGCCATAATTAAATGCAGATATTAATACCGAGGGCTACTTTGTGTTCCATAATCCGTAGGAGAATGACCCGTTGCACAGCGCTTGTTTGAAGTCTTAGTTAACCTTTAATCATTTGATGCTGAATCTGGCTTTGATTTTCACAGCAGAAAAAGTATATTTTGCAAAACCTTCAGGAAGGAAACGTGCCAATCCCACAGTGTTTCTCATCATGCTGTGGATGTTACTTTCAAAACCTCTTGGGTAATGCTGTGAGCAACAAAGGCTTTTTCCATTCCTTGCTTGCACTCCGCCTCTTGTAAGCCAGCATTGGAGTAATGACTTAAATGCTGCTAACGTTTGTTTTGCTGAAGGAGACCTGGGCCAGTAGAGCAGGCCGGCGTGGTGCAGATCTCAGATGTGGAATTTCCTCAGCTCTAAGGTATGCAGAGTCGGTTCTTCAGGGGAACACTTACAGGTGTTCAGAAAAGCAGAAGTAGAAAGGTTAAACCTTCAGTGCATTCCACGATAAAACCGGAGCCAGCAGCTCTTCAGAAGCATGTCAGCTTGTTTGTTTTTGCCTTGTGGGAGGTGCTGTTTAACCGGCACTCAGCTGGCAGATAAGGCAGTGCTGCCATGCTGCAGAGGTGAAGAATTCCCCTCGCCCGCTCCCACCCACTGTGCTGCGGGAGCTGGAGCTGCTGCCTCTTTGAGCCGCTGTAATAAAAATCTGCCCTCCGCAGTGGGTTTGGCCCAGAGCCTGGGAGCTGGGCTTCCCATCAGCTGTGCAAACCTGGGGGCTGTCTCGTTGCCTGTGCAACTCCATACCCTGCGTTTGACCGCTGTGCTGCCCTGATCTCCTCGCTCAAACGGGGCCTTCTAGTGCTCCCCACCTCCTGAATTCTTTGTCTCCATGCCAGCACTTCCTTTTCACCGCAGTTCCTTCCCCATAACTATCACAGCTGCCTCCTTCTCCAAAGAATAGGAAATAAACTCCCTTACCTCCAGCCAAGACCTGATAACTGCTGATAAGTGGCTTGTCAGCAGGGGCTGAGCCAGGCTCTGGTGTGAGCAAGAAGGCAGCTGGTGAAGGGAGGGCTGTGTGCTCCCAGCAGTGCTGCACAGCCCGTCCCTGCTTTGTCTGGGGGGGCTCAGCTTTGGCTGCACTGGGGCAGGAGGGCAGCAGTGGAGCTGGGGCTCGGTGGTGGCGTGCTGGATCTGGGTGCTTCCCAGGGGCTTGGCTGTGAGGTGTGCAGCTGTGGGCAGAGGCTTAGAGAGGGCAGGTAGTCCCCCAGCTGTCATCTTCAGGCCAATTATAAATGTGTGGCCTCTTTACTTGCAGTTTAGAGATGAGGCTAGAGTGATACTGGTCCAGAAGTAATTGTACAGGGCTCGATGTGGGGGCTTTATGCTCTAGGATTTGGTGCGTTCTTGCCTGCTGGGACTGGCTGAACCTCATGGACATCTTTCAGCCCTGCCTTGTCTGTAGTGTGCTGAGCTTGCTTTGCCCTGTGAGCACCTCTGAACCCTACTGTGAGGTGGGCATGAGCCCGGAACCCATGCAGTCAGATGTTTGGGGCTCATGTTTGGTGCTGGAAGAGCTGTATGTTCAGTCCTGGTTCTCCATGGCAGAGGATCTTTCTGTAGGAAGCAGAGATGCTGGGAGAGACGCTCAGCTTTTGGGATGCACTGAGGGCAGGCAGTGATTTGGTCTCCAAATCCCTCTTTGCTTCAGCTTACCATCTGTGTGCTAATGGTAAAAGCTCCACTGTGTCTTACCATGAGCTGGGGGGGTGGACAAGCTAGAGGCTTGTGAAACACTGAATGTAATAGGAATGGGGGTTGGCTAATGCTGAGAGATAGCTCTCTGCTGACATCTCTGAGCACCACGCTGCCCTTTCCATATATATATAAATATGCACATATATATATATATATATACTCTTATTAGTTTTATTTGGCTTCCCGAATGAGCTCAATGGAGTGATTCTCCATTAATAGCAGAGGCAATTACGCTGCACTTTGCAGCATCCTTGGATGCAGGCGCTGAGTTATCGGGCACGTGCTGTTCTGTGCTTACACAAAAAAAGGCTCGGGATCCTTCTGCTCCTCACACAGCGCTGCTCGAACCCCTGGGGAGCAGCTGCCCTGCGCTGCGGGTGGCACCGCTGCCTGCAGATGGTGCCAGAGCAGTGGCCAAATGCACGCTGCAGCCTGGCGCTGATGGAGGGAGTGCTGTGCTCAGCAGCACAGAAGTAACGTGAAGATAATACAGGGAAGTTGGTGAAAATCGAGGGGAAACGTGTGCCAACCGTGCTGGGTTGTTTGGGGAAAATTGCTACAGCAGTCTGTTGCTTCAGATGGTTGAGAATATTACCTTGAGGCAAGAGAGGCATTGAAAAGAAGACCTGGGGGGGAGAAGGCCCCCGCTTTTTGTGCAAGACTTTATGGTCTTCGTGTGTTGTCTGCTGCACTGCTGGAGTTGGGTCCTGAACCTTTCTGAGAGAAACAAACTGATGGAAGCCAAGGAAGCGGAAAGTTGTGCAAAGGAGGACATGGAAATGAGATGTATGTCCACCATCAGTCTTTTGTGCCTTTTTTGTCTCAGAATTGTTTCATTGAGAAAACAAGGGTGTCCAGAACAGCAGTACTTCTGCCTCGGTTCGTGGCTCTGTGATTATATACTCAATCTTTTCCTTATCTCTGCAGTGTCGTGCTCAATGGAGCACCTTCTCATTGGCTGTACAGTCAGGACATGTTTTTCTCTTCCGAAAGAGATGAAGCCTCTTCCAGCATCCCCAGGTCCAGAAGCTCTTCTCAGTGCTGCCTGGGGCTGCTCAAAGGAGGCAAGGACCCAATGGCTGCTGCTCTGGGTGAGCTGGGCACTGGTAGTGCCCAACCAGCCCACGTGGGCTTGGTTCTTATTAATCAAAATGTGCTCGGTGACAGCTGTCCTGCCCTGCGTGCCCACCATGCAAATTCCTCTGCTGACTGCTTGCTGATCAGGCAGCATGTGAAAAGGATAGCGGTTGAAGAGATTGGGGCTGAGTCTGGCTTTGCTTTAGGATGTGGATGTAATTTACGTCCCGTGGGCTCCCCAGCTGGTTGCCGAATGGGGTAGAGGGGATGGCATTTTCCTTTTCAAGTTTGGTTTCTGTGGGGACTCATTTCTTCCTAGGTGATAACTTTACAGAGGAGACTAATGACCACATGTTGATGAAATACTGCTGCGGGCCCATCTGGAACTGACGTGCGTCTTTGAGTAACAGCTGTTGAGCAAAGACAGCAGAGGGAGCTGCCCCAGCAAAAGTGGAAGAGCTTGACCCCTTTTCTCCCTGACAGGGCTGTTAGCTTTTTAGGATCAAAGCTTTTCACATTTGGTCCCTGTTCTTGAAGAAGCACAAGTGTTTCCACTGCAGACATTAGCGATTCTGGCTCTGCTCCCTGCCACCCATCCCCAGATCCACTTCGTGAGCATTCTCCTTGAAACTGTAGTTTACAAAAATAAAACCTAGATTAAAGCCAGTACAGCTGCCCTGGGGTTTGAATCAATGCGGGTATGATGTGTTGCCAAAGAGAGAATTACTCAGGAGTGTGGATTAGAGCTGTGTGTCTCCAGGAAGACCTGGTCTTCAAAGCCAGGGAATTTTCACAGCTCTAGCTGGTGCATCTCCAGCTACGAGGCTCTGCTGCCCTCCTCCATGGGTACAGGACTGTCAGCTCTCTCCTTTTTATCTCATCCTCTTCATCTTTTTTTCCTATCTGGCTCAGTGCTCTCCTGTGCTTTTCCTTTGGCTGGAATCTGCTGACGGGACTGCCCTGCAGCCTTCCCCGTTGCTGTCTCTCACCAGCTGTAAAAACTTCAGTACTTTAAAAAATATTTTTCTTCCTGTTGGGAGATAGGTTAGGCTGTTTTGTTCTGGTTTGTTTTAAACAGCCGTGCACTTCTGCAGCACTGCTGAGAGTCTGAGTGTTCAAGGCAGGTTTAGAAACCCCAGTCTGTAGCAGCTGCCGGAGCTGAGGAGAGGGATGCTGCTGCTGAGCTCTTGCAGGAGTTGTCTGTGCAGGGCTGGTGCCATATGGCAGCATCTCAAAGCAGTGGTGCATAGCTCATGTGCTGGCCTGCATGCAGGGAAAGCTGAGAGGTCGGAAGGGCTCAGGGCCAGGCTGATGTTCAGCAGAGCCCTTAGGGCCGAGCTGCCCTTCCCGCGCGGCGCTGACAGTGCCCAGCAGCGGTGGGTGCCAGGTGGCAGCAGAAAGGCAGCCTGGCTGGGCTGTGAGCTCCAGGGATTGACCCTCTGTGATTGCTGGGGGATGGCCCAGGTTCTGCCCAGATGCCCTGCCGTGGCATTGTGCAAGGAGCTGTCTGGGCACGTGCAGAGAGTGAAGGTGAACGACGTGAGGAAGTGAGCCTGCTCAGTGTCACCTGCCACCTGCCACCGCTGGGCACGGAGAGCAGGGCTCTGTGGCTGATCCCAGCCCTGTCCTTCAGTGTGTGACCCAGGGCCTCAAGCTCTCTCCCTGCAAACCCATGCATCTTCTGGTGCTTGCCCTGCCTGCTCTGCTGCTATGGGGCTGCTGTGTGCTTCCCCACAACCAACCCAAAGTTCATCAGTGCTGGGAATGTGGTGGAGCCTCCCCTCTGTCTGAGGGCAGCCTTTCTTCTCCAGGAAATCTGCATCCTCCATCTCTAGAGCCAAAACACTCCTTTGCTGTGATTGCTGCCTTTGAAGCAAGCTAAGCTTTCCAAGTGAAAGCTCCAGCCAAGCTTGGGCTCTGGCCCAGCAATCTTGACAAAGCCCTGGGATATAATCTGTAGGTACCATCCTGGTTGCATCCTGAAGGCTCTTGGGGCAGGCACTGTTGGCACTGTGCCCCGTGATGCCCATCGCCTGGCATCCATCAGCACCCAGGGTCTGATTTAACTTCTCCCATCCTCTGCGGGCTCCTGTCTTTTTTCCCCTGTGCAGAACTGCTCCTCTTGTAGCAGTGTCATCTGTGTTCCACACCAGGACAGATGATGGCATTGGTCCTCCTTCTTTTGATCTGCCTCCTGTTCTGTCTCACTGTTTGTGCCAGCATCTTCTGGGGCCAGGGGACAGCTGGCACCTTGAGCTCCCTGGTGCTGGATCCCCTTGTGATGTCCATGGGTAGCACTGAGCCAAAGCCACGGGAAATGGACTGGAATGTGCCGAGTGTGTGATGCCCAGGGGGTTCGTGCTTGGGGCAGGGATGGGAGAGAGGTGCTGGGGAGCCCTCAGCTGCTTTGGGAGAAGGAGCGGTTGAGATGCCGGTGGGTGTTTGTGACGGATTCAGGCTCTATTTATTAATGTTCCATTTTTGGCTTCATTTGTCCATCTCCTTAACGAGGTCATGGCTGTAAAACAAAAATAGCATCCACAGTAGAGCTCAATCTTGCCTATTAAATATCTTTTAAGAATG